CTTAACCAACTGAGCCACCCAGATGCCCCTAAATACCCCTGTCTTGAGTCCCATTCCCCGGACACGGCAGGAAAGAAAGCCAGCTGTAGAGTTGGTGGGCCCAGTGTGGACATGCTCTGACCAAGAGTCTCTTGGGTTACCGCTAATAAGGTGGAGAAGAGCCACTGGGATGTCTTTATCTTTGGCTAAAGGGCAGACGGTCGGCTGTATCTCACACCCCCTAAACACACACATACACACACGCGCGCGCACACACACACGTAGGCCTTGAAGGCCAAGGGCAGCCTGGGCTGGGGACCTGCATAGGTGGTGACCGTCTTCCCCTCCCACAGGACAGAGTGGGCCTGCTGGAGCAGGTGACCCGGGAGCACGAGCATTTCCAGGCAGGCGTGGACGAGTTCCAGCTGTGGCTGAAGGCGGTGGTGGAGAAGGTGAGCAGCTGCCTGGGACGGAACTGCAAACTGACCACCGAGGGCCGTCTCTGCGCGCTGCAGGTAAACTTGACCGCGTCTCTACCAGAGGGGAAATGCTCAGCTACTGGGCTTCTGTGTTGTTTATTTACTGGGATGTGCTGGGGGCCCCAGGGGATACAAGAGCCACGGCACGCAGAGCGCACACGAGGAGACGTGTGGAATCTAGCGCAGTAGGTGTGGGGCCTCGGCTGCTTTACAGAAATCTCCGAGCCAGCGGGGCACTTGGAAACCCAAGGTCACAGCAGCGTGGTCTAGACCAGTGGGTCTCAAATGGGGGACGCTTGGCAACGTCTGGAGACATTTTTTGGTCGTTACCACGGAGGGTGGAAATGCTATTGGCATGTAGTGAGTAGAGGCCAGATCGGATGCTATTATGCACCTTGTGACGGGCAGGGCAGCCCCCCCAACAGACCTGTCCGACCGCAGGTGTCGGTCGTGCCGCGGGTAAGGAGCCCTGGTGTAGGCATCAGGCCTGCAGTGGAGACAGGCTTGGTCCACTCCGGCCTTCCTGAACGGCTGTGACCTTGAATGAGCTTCTGACTTCCTCCATAAAGGGACTGTTAGAGTATGTGCAGTAATTCAGGGACTACTTTATAAATTTTGCCACAGATCTACAGCACCTGTACCATTTATTTAATATTTGTATGTAAGTTGACTCTTGTTTAAAAACCAGTGAATAACGACATCCCACCCCCCAAAATCTTAGGTGAGTAGTGTGAGAATGTTCGTCGGAACTTTATTTGTAATAGTCCCAAACTGAAAACACCTCAGATTTTAATCAGCAGAGTGTTGGATTCACATATTGTGGCACGGGAGAGAGATATCGATGACATAGATATAGATTAGCTATAAATCACATGTCCATGTCTGTATCTATATATAAAGGAATACTACTCACAACAAAGAAGAACGAAGTGCTAAGACCTACGACAGCATGGAAGAATCCAAAACACATGACGTGGAAAGAAGCCAGTTTCAAAAGATAATATATCCAATGCTTTCAGATACATGGAGTTCTAGAATCTTTTGGGATGTTAGAAATGCTCTATATGTTGGTGACAATGTGCACTACGTGGGTGTGCATATTTCTCAAAACTCTTTGAATAGTAGTGCTTAAGGTCTATGTATCTTACTCCATGCAATTGCGCTGCGACAAAAAAGGAAAATATTTGGAAGGCACTTGCAAATAAAATAGACTTGCAGGTGCCTATATAAATTTTTTAAATGGAAGACTAATGAATATTTGTATGAAAGGAAAAGTTCTGTCATTGTCGTGAATGGAAAATCGCTGCTCACTCGGCATTCGTAGATAACCCTACAAATAAATATAACGAAACCCAACCGGGTCGTTAGGTTCTATTTGGCTCCATACTTCCTCCAGCTGAAGGCTCCCAGCCCGAGGCTGCCTCTGTCTTTGTTAAAAGGGAAGATCACCAAACGTCACAGAGGGTTAAAGGCAGAAACACCCAACCCAGATTTTCTCCTCGACTTAGTGGCCGTAGAAGTCGCGGGAAGGGAATTACATCCTCCTGTGGCAAGTCAGTGCGATTAAGGTGGACAGTCCACCCCTTGGAAAGGCGCGTCTGGCTCTCATCTAGGAGTTCGTGTTTAGCATGACATTCCAGGGGCTCTGGAAAATGCAGCACGTGATGTCTTTTTCCCCTTGTATGTTTCCCCATCCGTCCACCTCCCACCCACCCCCTTCAGGACATCGCTGGCGACTTTCCCCGGGGTAAGGAATCTTTGAGGAGGCTGGAGGAGCAGGCTGTGGGCGTCATCCAGAACACCTCTCCTCTGGGCGCGGAGAAGATCACCGAGGAGCTGGAGGAGATGCAGAAAGTTCTGGACAAGCTGCGAGCCCTCTGGGAGGAGGAGGAGGAGCGGCTGCAGGGCCTGCTCAAGTCCATGGGAGCCTGTGAGCAGCAGAGGCGGCAGCTAGAGGCCGAGCTGGGAGAGTTCAGGAAGGACCTTCAGAGGCTGGCCGAGGAGGGTCTGGAGCCCGTGGCGAAGGCGGGGACCGAGGACGAGCTGGTGGCCCGCTGGAGACTCTACTCGGTACGTGGGGTTTGGCTAAGACAGGGACTGTCCAGGTGACATGTGTACCTTGGAGCTCCTCTTCACGGGGAGAGAGTCATGCTAAGCTTTAACCACGTTTACTCTGGGCCTTCTAGATCTTTGGTGATCTAAGTTCCCTGGGTGTAGTACACAAGTTGGGTGTTTGTACCCATCTTCCAGATGAGGAAACCGAGGTCTGGAGAGGTTTCCCTCTCAACATCCCCAGGACCACGCGAGGAGTCTGTGGGTAAATAAGACCAGAGGTGCCTTGCCTTTTGGTCTGCCATTCCCTTGCCCCGTGGTGGGATGCGGGGTGGCCTGCTTGAGCCTAGAGCAGGGAGAGTTAGGTCAGAGGGAAGGTTCTTTGCGTAGAGACGATGGGGTTCTAGGGAGACCAAGCCAACGGTGCCCGTCCTGGGAGGGCGGGGCGGGTTCCAACCCAGACACAACGTCCGACCAGAGCACGGTCGACTTCCTCCCACGCATGTGCACACCCGGGAGGTCTGACTTACGGACAGAGAGGTTTTTTTTCCAACAAGGGTCAACATCCTCCCTCAAGCCTATCTTCACTTACTAGCTCAGCGGGTTAGCCCCACGTCAGTGCCATCAGGGAAAATGTTTTCAAAGAAAAGCTACCCGGATCCCATCTCCGCTCTGCATTGTTGTTCTGTTTTTCTCTCTTCCTTCCGATGCTTGCCCAAATGCAAACATATTTTTTGTGTGGGTAGAAAGAAAGCAGTTACCCTTTAGGGCTCATTGAGCCTCGTAGTAGACGAGGTTCCACTGCGGTGATCAACTTAGCGCAAAGAGAACTACTTCCTGTTTCGGACTGTCCGCCTCGGCTCAGGAGGAGCTGGCGTGTGCAGCGGCCAAGGGCAGGGGGACGTTGGGGTCAGACTGCCTGGGTCCAGATCCTGCTCTCTCTTCTTGCTAACTGGGCGGCCTTGGGAGAAGTACTTTAACCTCAGTTACACACGGACAGGGACGAACCGGTGAAAACTCAAAAAGTGCTTAGCACAGCACCTGCCAAAGTCGATGCTTGGAAAGTACCGGCTTTTACCACAAGATAAGGGATAAGGGTCACAAGGTGCAAACTCGGGAGCCAAGGCCCGGAAGGCCCTGCCACTGTTCCACCGCGACAGCTACTTGTCTGTGCCCAGCTGGGTTTCAGGAAGCCTTTCCTGAGGCAGAGCCGACCCCATCCCTGCGGGCCCCGATGCCAGTGGCCCCTCAATTATGATCAAGCCATGACTCACCAAAATCGGTGAAAGAGAAGCTTGGGATTTATCACTGAAGCCTTTGGTTCTTAAATGAGCATTCGCACAGTGGCTGTTTGCACTTATGATGTGGTTTATAGCAAGGAGCAGACACCTCGCCTGCTCCAGCCCAGCCCTCGGAGTGGCTGGGTGCCCTGGGATGAGGCCAGGTCTGTGGCCACCGGGCAGCCCGACCTGCTTTGGCTGGGAGCCCCCGTGGCCCAGCAGAGCAGGGGAAAGGTAGAGCATAGCCTTTCTCTCTTGCACCAAAAAGGAAATTTGGACTCTTCCCTCTTCTGAGAAACAGGCAAAGTTCGAAGAAGCGGGTGATGTCAGGACCGCGGTTGAAAGCACGACTTGTAAAGAAAGCATCTGTGAGATGGGGCGCCTGGGTGGCGCAGTCGGTTAGGCGTCCGACTTC